ATATATATATATATATATATATATATATATATATATATATATATATATATATATATATATATATATATATATATATATATATATATATATACTAGCTGGCCCGGTCCGCGTTGCCGGCCCGTACTTTTAGTCTTTAATGCGTATTTTTTAAAGCATAATAAATCACACATCTGACTTATGTAAGCGGCACAATTTTCGTTATAAGTAATGACTCCATGACTAAATAGAAATTAATTTTTGTGTTAAATACCTTTATGATAAAGAAAATCTATAATAGCCCAATGTGAAAATTCAGCTCAATTTTTATTGTTGTAAAAAGCTTAACATTTTCATTCAAATGATCTATAATTTCGAATTTGTATTTCCAATGTTTAAAATCCCGTAATGCTTGGTATTTAAATTTGTTCACCTAATACTTAAAGGCAGAATGTTGTCAGAATAGCCAAAAAAAATCTCTTTTGGGCATAAGTTTTTTGTCATTTAAATTGTGCGATGGAGATCCAATAAAGTCCACATTTTTCATCGTAGTGTAATTCAATGAAGATTAAAGAAATGTTCGGTCTCGTGTTACTTTCTAATTTCGTATTTTTTTCATATTTCTGCCACAATTTTCGACTGAATAAGTCCCAGATTGACATTTCGGAGTTTATTTCATATAGACATCCCACATCGTACATCCCAAATTTACGTTTCCAACCAATGTTCTCTTGGGGGTTACAAATTCAATAGAATACCAAATTTTCTTTTCTGACCACACATTGGTTGGGAAAGTGGACTTGGGGGTATACTAATGTGGGGACTATACTTTAATAAATGCCTATGTGGATAATTATCTGTAAGATGGTTTTCTACCTCAGGGTTTTTTACCCAATGTGACCTCAAGACTAAGATGGGCCCTTTTCCGAAAAATAAAAATTTTATGAGAAGAGGTTTTCTTCCCCCTTAGAAACAAAGATGTCAAATAAGGGCCAAAAAAATGGAAAAAGATGCCAAGACCCCGAAAATACTATAAATCATATGATGGTGATGCTAAAACATGACAAATTCTTGCAAGGATGTTTTTTTAAATTATCAACATAAGGCAAAATTAATACGAAAAGTATGGTTAAAATGTAGAATATACTTGAAATCGGGTTGTTCCGTTATAGGGGGTTATGACCCATATCATGACCTGCCAAAGCGATTAAAGGCATCTTGAATGTTTGGAAAAAATTTCTGGAAGGAATTCGCTCTACTATTTTGCGTCCTTTATAGTCGGTATTTCACGGATTGCAGTCCCAATGTATTTTGCATTTTGAGTTCTCATTGGACGAATTATTGTCATATAAAAGAAACAGGTCCACTTTTTGAAGTTACCCCCATAACGCTTTTTCGGTCATTTTTTTTTTTTTGTTTGTTTGTATAAATGTGTTCGCATCTTCCAGCTGAAGGTCCTGAAGTTGAAAGCTAGATGCCAATTTTATACATGAAAGATCGCCATTTAACATCGTATTACACACTCATTTCATTTTTAATATTATTCATTGAGAATAGAAAACAATAAGAAATGTACACTTCAATATAGAAAAAAGAAAGGATTGAAAAAAGACAAATAATCTTCAACTGGTTCGCTGATTTTTTTTTTACGGCAAATTTTTAAAGGTCCTTATGAAGTTTGTCTGTAGAATGTACTATTATTTTGAAATTCGATTCCATTGAAAAATTTTCGATTTTTCCCGATTTTAGAATGTTCATATCTTATTCAAAATAAAACATTACTATTGTACATTTTAAAAGTCAAAATGAAAATGTTCAAAATTTCACATTTTTATGCGATTTTTTTGGATTTTATGCTTTTCTGCCAAGAGGAAATTCCGAATTTGTGTGAATCGTTAAAACCAGACCGGCGGTCTTTGTGTTATAAGCTTAGTAACTAACATAACTTTCTTTTACATATAGAGAGACAGATTTATATATATATATATATATATATATATATATATATATATATATATATATATATATATATATATATATATATATATATATATATATATATATATATATATATATATATATATATAATTTGTACAGTCTATTATGAATATTTTGAGTTGTTACAAACGGAATGACAAACCTAATGTACCCTCTATAAATTTCAATACCAAAATTAAACGAGTAAGCAAAGGCTATAGTCGTGCGGGGCCGACCATGTGATACCCTACAATACTACAATATGTTCGATCCAAATCCATTTTGGAAGATTTCGTTTTTGAAATAATGTCAAAGAGCCCCGCCCAGAGGTTACCCTTAGTTTTTTGAACCGGAGAATTTGGCCAATATTTACGCACTCCGCAGTGTTGTTAAGTAACCAAAACAAATTCACACGGAAGTTGTGGTCCATTTTACAGTCATCCAAAATGCTAGACTTCTTCGCTGTCTTTAACTCTCTTCTGATGCGAATTGTGAAAATCGGCCCAGCGGTTCTTGATTTATAAGTAGAATAAATAAGATCAATTCTTTTACATATATATTGTACCTATTTTGCTATATATCCGATTTCTTGGATATTAGCATAACTGTAATGGTCAGAAGTGATCTTTTAATGTATTTGTGATTTGACTGGGATTGAAAATATTCGCGGTTTAGTGGAAATTTTCACATTTTCTTGCATAAAAGTAAGGGTTTTTTTTACCCGCTAATTATTGTCCGATGGTAGGTTTCTGCCCACTCCTAAACTCTAACTCCATGTAAATTTTCGCGTCGATTGCTTCATAATTGTGGTCTATAGAGCAACTGCAAAATCAGGAAAATTTTCTGTTTTTGGTCCATTTCAACCCCTAAATATCGTGCGATCATCTCCAAAAACGATAGGGTTCTATAATTGCGACCTGGATCGGTTCATAATTGCGACGTGTAGCTTGATTACAAATTAACATGGACAGACGGACGGACGGACATACATAGCTAGATCGACTCAGCTCGGCGATATAGGAAGATCCATTTATACTTTCTTATGTGGGTAACCAATATTTTGAGGTGTTACATAATTTTTGGCCCAATCAAACTTATAATACCCCCAACACATAGTGTTGTAGGGTATAAAAATATATTAGAATTAGAAAATTATATTAGAATATAAAGTTTTGAATGCATATAAAAGCAAAAGGGGTAGTGAAACGTATCGGGTTTAGTTCGTATAGTATAAAATAACATATTCGTCGGAGACGCATAAGTGTGCATATCCTGTTGAATCGAAGACACAGGTTACAATTTTCAAGATAAATGGCATAAATGTTGGTAGCATTTCTAAGATGCTTGGTATTGAATGGTATATGGGCCAAAATTAATGTCGTCATGTAACCGACTACCCTCTCTCCAAAAATATTCAATGTAAGTTCACATTTTGTGGTATTGTCCAATCTAACGGTATATCCTTATATTAAGCATATTAAACGTTTTTGGCCCCAATTTCTAAATATATCAGCTGTTATTATATATTTTGGGTTCTTTGTGGATTGATTATATATAACTATCGCCTCCATGAAACAGTAGTTTTAAATTCGTGGGATTTTAGGACAGCCCATCTAGTTGCAGGTATAGTATTCGCATGGTGAGAGGTATAAAAAGTTCTGCGTACTGAACGTCTTTTTATTACTAGTTTTTAATTAAATCTAACTATCAAAGTAAGCCCCCTGGTGTGGAGTTAAAGTATTAAAATTCAAATGCAACATAAACAGAGCCCCTGTCGTCAAATAGTGGTACTAAAATGAAAGCTCCGTGCACAATCAGCCGCGCCATCACCATTCGATAGATCGGCAATCGACCGAACGAAATGGTATAAAACGAGAGCATTTGACACACACTCAAAGTAGTCAACTTTGGAGGGTTGCCGAGTAAAGTGTGGCTGGGAAGAGGGGGCGAAGTGCTGCCCAAGCAGAACAGAGCCAAATTATTCTGGACAATTTTCTGGCCATCGACAGTTCGGTGATCTGGCTGTGCTGACGACGTACGGCAACGATAGGTGGGTTCTGTAAAAATAGACATTATTTTAATACCTGTACCGCCACTTTGGTACTGTCACCATTAGTCGTCCATATTCATCGGACCGATGACTTACGTGTCAATGAAAACTACAACTATGAACACAACTGAGACAACAGCATTGCTGTAGTCCTTCTGCAAAACCAGTCATTTTTCATCAGCCATCACCCTGTAGAGCTGCTGCCAACGTAAGTCCACGATATTTCCCGGGTCTCTGCATTCTCAAATCGCTTCCAGCACTTTCTGTAATGTTCATCGTGTTTCTGACAAAACTAGTTATCGATATTCATTGGGACGCTTCTGTGACCGCCCCTAGTCGACTATTTTCGGTTTAATCCGCAATATAGCGACTGTCAATTCGTAATCGGTCCATGTCGACAACCTACTTGTGTTCAACACACCTTCAGCTGATAGTTAATAATTTCTTTAACAACTATTGTGACCCATCTCCATATTGGAAAAAATGTCGTCAAATCAAAGCTCATTGATGGGCACAGCGTTCAAAATAGCATTTATGACGTCTGTCGGGTCACCTCGCACTCAACTGATCGAGCTACAGAAGAATAAAGGTAAAATACAGAAACCCCTCTTTCATTTTGGGAAGCACCAAATAATATTCAAATATTCGCTAAGACTTTGGAAGCCTTAAGGCCACATTAGCAAGGGAAACTTCCTAAAAATATAATTGGGGAAATCTCCAAATGTGGAAACTACTTTCCTTGTTATGGGTTCTTCTTAATATCATTAGTATTTTATTCTGGAACAGAATAATTCGAAACGAACAGTATTCGTCCTCGGTTCCGCTTGCTTATGTAGCCTTAAGGCTTCCAAAGTCTTAGCGAATATTTGAATATTATCTTATGTTTCCCAAAATAAAAAAGATATTTGTTGTTTTGCCAACTTGATTCTTTGCAACTCGATCAGAATATGGCATTCTTGATCAATTCCCTAAATGTTTTATATAAGTACAAACACAATTTATTAAATTATCATTGAGTTCAGTTTTATTTTTTCTTCTTCTTTATTCAAATCTCCTTAATATAACTTAAGAAAATATTGTTATAAAATTATCTACTTACAATTATTTACAAAATATGTACATACATATAAATACAGAAAAAAAATATCACACTATTATTTACAACAATTATTATGTTACATAATATAAATAATGGCCTATGTAGAATAAATTTTATTTGAATAATTTACAGAATAGTTTACATGGAAACAAATGATAACACTTAAGTACAAAATAACTTAAATACGAAATCTATAAAAATGGGGGTTTTTTGTTATGCTTGCTTATTTAAAACTAAGCGAGGACATTGATCCACCTTATGAACATGTCCTTATAGCTTCTTTACAGATCATTTAAGTTTAATTATTACAATTTTGTCGATAAACTTTAATTATGAATTGTTTATTAAATTGCTTTGATTGGACATGTTGCAAATGGAATTTAATCTTCTAACCTAAAAAAAACCTTAAGAATTATATGATTTAACATTATAAGATTTTTTATGGAAAAAAGAAAGCACTTAATTTTCATAGTTTCCAATTATTGGAATTTTACCCAAAATGTGAACTACATTTATAAAATTTTGTCTTAGCATAAATAATTAAAATATACTTATTTAGTTACCAAAGGTGCAAAAATAATAAACAAATGTAGTTCCATAGAGGAAAATTCAAAAAATAACCTTTAGTTTCTTTCTTTGATGATTTAATTTCACAACACGATTCAAAACCTAAAACATATATTAGCAGTTACGATTTGGAAATTTTTCTATATTGTATCTTATAATGAAAACCATACATAGCAAATTTTGCATTCTTAAAGTCAAAAAGGCAGTGTTCGAATTATGGAAACTTTTTGGTGTGGGCATGCGTGGATGGATGATATAAATTATAAATAAATGATATTGTACATTTGTAAAGTGGAGATAATTTTGTTCGATATTGTTTTTGATATTTTTGTGGTGTGGGCGTGTGAAAGGAATGAAAACAAAGTAATTATGCAAATGGCTTCTGGTTCTGGTGTGAAGGGACGGAGGAAGACGGATTTATTTTTATCGGTAAGTTATTACTATCTGCAACCACAGGATTCAACAATCATATTGGGAAATTTTTTCACAATTCCCGTGGAGTTATTTTCCAAATACAATAACTGTAGTGACGAGTAGGTTTTGGCTGTACAACAAGGAACCAGCTCAAGATTCCGGTTTCTATGGCCAGGTTTGTTTAGCACTTTCTGTAAAAACCAGGAAATTTACAAATTATTACCGATTTCTTGTGAAAAACGATTCGCAAGCTAACAAACCTGTACAAATGAACTGTGCAGTGATGATGAACTCGCCACACTGGCTAATCTATTGCAAGAGCCTCGACAAAAATATGCATCATAGCCCTTTGGCTCAATAATCCAATCACTCCAGCCAATCTCTTCGAATGATATATACAACTTCTCCCGACAACATTCTGTGACGCCGTGCGTACAATTGATGGTACGCTTTTGGCGCGTCTGCCTTCGCCGACTCTGCGTATTGACAATGATGAAGGGTCGATAATCCATATCCGTGGAAATTATATGCTCCATAGCGGCCATATCACATGACTGGCATGTGATTTGTATTAAATGGCTGAGATCATGTTTGCCATACCAACGTTTTATGGGCCATTCTATGTCGATTTTCATCCATTCATCTGCAAGAGGAAAAAAATTAAAATGTTTAAATTAATTTATATTAAATAGTTTTTATAATTAATATTTTAATAAGAAATGTATGGTTTTAGACCTAAATTAGCAATTGTGTCCAGTGTTGTAAATTATATTAACCTTTAACTCCTGAGGTGGTGGTAAATTTTACCCTCCCTTCACATTTTCTTGAAATTCTCTATTCTATTACAATGAATAAAAACTTTGTTTACATTAAAAAAAAACATTATTTTTTTTACTTATTGTAATTTAAAATATACAAGCTTACTTTTAAAAAACAAATTATTATCAAATAAAATTTTTAACAAAGTTTTTTTCTGTAAAATTTAGAGGGGTAAAATTTACCACCACGTTATAAAATATGTCACCTCACAAGTTAAAGGTTAGTTCCTAGGAAATATATTTTTTATATTTAAGTTTAACAAAAACGAAAAGAAAATATTCTGTCATTATGATGTCAGTCTCTTATTGAACTTTTGCCGAACTGCATAGGTATGATATGAAAAATTCGACAGATCACTGATATATTTAAGCGCAATGGACATTCGGGCCATACACAGTACGGACAGCTCATTCTTGTATATCGATCCCTAATAAATAATATAATGTTTTGGTTGAAAAACTATTAAGAAATTATATATTCGAAACGAGAAACGAAAGAAACTATGTTAGAATTGGGATTGGAATTAATAAAATGACCGCGTACTCAAATGTATGTAAGAAATCACTATTGTTGTCCTAATTTTATGAGCGATGACACGTCACACAATTACAAGGTAATAGAAAACATGGGCACGGCTAAGAAGTTAGACTATACTACTGGTGATACTTTTGGAAGATTCTCAAGTTCTTCACGGTAGGCTCTCATATTTCAAATTTTAAAAATGTTATAAAACTGACAAAAATTTTGTTTTTGTCAGCATGGCTGGGATTTCTCTCATCACATACAGTTGACCTATTCATGTTCCATAAATTTGTAAATATTAGTTGTTTTAAATTTTTTTTACCGCTATTTTTCAGCTACCAAAATCATAGATAGCCTTTGACAAAAGAAAGTAAGAACAAAACAAACAAAATATATGCTTTGACTCTACCGATTCACACACAAAGTCACTCCCATTTGGGTGCTGTTGTTGTTGTTGCTTTGGGCAAAATGAGTACTCTGAACATATTTTTGATTTACTTTTGACACAATCGCAAAAAATATGATTTATTTATTATTTTCAAGTGATTTCGTATCAATTGGAGGTTAATTCACTCCCCACAAAAGCGGTGAAAGTCCAAACAATATTTTTCCAATGCAGCTAACCGGATATTCTAAATACAAGATGGACGAAAAAAAAAAGAAAACAAATCGCCCACCCCAGATAGAATCCCCTGATTTATTTTCTATGAACTTTGAACTTTTCCAAAAACAAAAGAATAATAAGAATTTCATTATTCTTGTTGTTGTTGCCAAGATGACTACACAGAAAACCACACGTAGAGCTGAAAGCAATGTCAAGAAGTCAGCATAACAAGTAATTATTTGATTTGCGTTTCATATATTATTGACGAGTCACACTTTTCAGCAATAAAATAAATGAGTATGACATGAAATTAACCATAGAAAAGCAAAAACATATGCGTAAAATCTAATCATATGCTATAGATAACAATTTTTTATAATCATCGTCACGCCTTTTGGGGTTAGTCTAAATATACACACACGTACACGCAAAGGCCGTCTTTTTACTCCTTACAGCACCTCTTAAATTTATACAATTCAAAGTGCTACCTTGCTTACCTTGAACATCAATGGACTGAACGGCTATTGTTTTCACGGATGGTATCCGATTCGTGGTGGTATCTTGTTGTACTTCTGACACTACAATTTTCTGCTGATTTTCCGATGTTATGTTGCGGTTGTTGGTCGAAAATGGATGTCTTGTCTTAAATAACCATAAAACGGCTGTGCTAACATCATAGCTATCTGCATCGGCATCATCCAGTTTAAAGGAAAAACACATAGATGGTTGCGCATCCAATTTATTGCATAATTCTTGTTCTACCGGGAGAAGAGGAGGGAGAGAAAGAGAGAGAAGAGCAAATTTTCAAAATTTTATACATTTTCAACAAAGCAACGCATTTTCGGACTTACCAACATCTAAGAATATGACTTTTTTACTTGTACGCGCATAATAATCATCTAAATCCTTTTTCGATGATTCCTCATCTTCTTGCTGTATTGTTCTACCCTCCAGAATCGGTTTGGGCAAATTTACCGCCGGCACATGTGGCCTTTCTTTGAGTCTTAATTTATCCAAGATCTGCTGCTTAACAAACTCAATGCGTAAGCGTGTTAGCTCCTCCTCCGTAACAAGTTCCTCTTCCTCCTCGTTTTTATGACTATTTTCACATTTTGGACAATGGATGTCAACTGATTTACCATTGGATTCACTGTTATGATTTGCACTTTTCTTTGGCTTTTCATCATCCTCATTATCTTCCTCCGCACGGACGGGGACATCAGGATATTCATATTCAACACTGTTTTTTGCGGGTGCATCACCAAACATACGCTCCTCACTGCTGCTGCTATAGTCATCATACACCATGGACAAATGTTGCCACAAGCGTGGTATATTTTTCGGTGCATTTTCACGAAAAACTGTCCTTTGCTGTAAACTGTTTTCAATTTGGCGACGATGTTCGATCTGCAGTTGCATGTGGCGTTTAAAACGTTGTTCGTAACGCCTGGAACTCTCTTCCTCTTCACTGCTGCCTATGTTGTGGTGTTGATGTTGCTTGACATGTTTGCGGGCATGATGGGTCTGATGCTGGTCGTGGGTGGGATGATGATTTTGTGCACCCTGGACGTGATTACGATACTGATGATGTTGACGCATAAAATGTGTTACAGCGTTCGAACCTCCACTAGGCTGAGACTTGGCATGAAGGCGATTGTAAATGTTATTATTTTCCATGGCCAAAAAAGCCAGCAACACAAATGCTATAAAATATTTAGCCATTTTATTGAATTTCTTTGTTGTTTTATTATTTATTAGAAGACCTAGAAGATTATTGGCAGTTGTTTTCACAAATATTGGAGAATTTTCGAGTTGTTTGAATTTGAATTGTTTTTCTATTTTATTTCGCTATCTAAGTTGGTGCAATGCTAGTTTTTATAATTTGACACTTTAGATACTATCTCTTAGGAAGCATTAAAAATCGTTCTTTAGTCCTTGATATTTTACAAAACATAGAGTTTTTTGCTTTTTTCTTTGATTGTTGAATATTGATTTTGTGATGGGTTAGTTGTTGTTTGAAAGTTTCCTTTTTTGGATTTCTTTCTTTTACGTTACTGCATTGTCTTCGGGTTAATCTGAAAAAAAAAAGAATAAAAAAATTATTAAGAAAACTCATATTAGAAATTTTACACATTAATAATCGACACACAAGCGAGAGGATATATTTTACGAGCGATCACGATGCTATAGATCAGACCTGAGAAAAATCATATAAAGATATTCTTTAACAGAAAATCGGAAAATGAATTTTTCTTATATTTTACAATACTAATGCTTACTTTTTAAATTACTAAATTAATATTAAAATATTATAAAATGGATTTTGATTGATTGGTTGCTAACCAAAAACTAAGAAATAATTGTCTGTGTGCGCTCAGATCTGCCATAGGCCTTTGAGACAGAAGAAATGATCGTGCAATATGTAAACGAACTCAGTGCAATATTGTGAATATAAAACTGGCCTGTAGCTTAAAAAAGTATTTTTTTCTGGCTTAAGTCATCGGCTGGCTTCACCGCTTAGACTTTGTAACTGGTTCTAGCTCATGTGGCAGAACATTGTATATAAAAGTTCACGTTTTCTCATAGACACCATACAACGCTATCTCTATATTCGGTATTTTAGGAATTTATTGGTTGATAGGTTTAATAAAGTGTTCTACCTCATTTTTGGAAAAGTATTGCCTATATAGGTTCACGTTTTCCTGCAGCTCCCCTAAAGAGATTCCTCCTCATATTCGGTATTTTAGCAATTTAGATCACATTTTCTATAACTCCTAAGAAATGTCAAAAGATAAAGAATTTATAAGAAACATGGTTTTTAGTTACTACATTTTGTAAAAAGGACATGTGAAATAAAAACATTGAATCCTCACAAAGCGAAAAATAAACAATTTTAAAGAAGTTAACTTTGAGTGTTTTAATTTTTTTTTCAAGTGCTCCGATTTGTGGCTGAAAATTAGGCTTACGCCCATTGCTATTTTTTTGAATCTACGTGATTTGTAGCAAAATATCTTTGTGAGTATTTAATATAATTTTTTGTTTTTTAATGAAATCTGAATAAATTTTTCCATGACCATTGTAGCCATTGTAACTTTTCTTTTTTAATTCGCGATAAGCTTAATGAACGGAAATTTACAGTGAGAAGTGAAAAAAAGAGAATAAAGAGATACCAAACAACAACCACTAGGCGTTATTTATCACCTTTTGAATATTGCTATGTATGTATTTGAAATCTAAAAAAATATCTATTTTGTATAAGAGAAACAATTCCAAAGGACAAAATACCTAATATTTATATCCTTCGTAAATTTCAATGGCAAAAAATGTGCATGGTCCGCATATATTCGACGCCAAAGCTGATTTATTAGAACTTCACTTTTATTCATATTTTGGATAACCTTAGAGATTATTAATTTACTTATTTATATTTTATTCTAGTTTTTTTTTTTTTTCTCGTATTTGTGGCACTCAATTCTTTGGAAAATGTTTGAGACTTGTAAAGAATCCCTGTCGCTACAAATAAATATTAAATATTAATAAATCTTAAATATTTTCCATATGTCCTTAAATATTTCTTGGATTTTTTTCAATATTTTCCAATGCAAATTTTTATAAGTGCTCACCCTATGTAAATATTTCTGCTAATAAAAAACAGCTAAAATTACGATGTTAGCGGGCATGATGGGTCTGATGCTGATCGTGGGTGGGATGATGATTTTGTGTCCTCTGGTCGTGATTACGACATTGATGATGTTGACCCATAAAATGTGTTACAGCGTTCGAACCTCCAGCGATTGTAAATGTTTTTATTTTCCACAGTTCAAGAAAGTGTTAAAGTGGCAGGTTCTAATTTTTGACTCCCTAAACCTCTCTTGTGCCAATATTTTTAAAAGGAAATAAACAAATACGAGCTACTTGAAATATACAAAAATAAGAAAGTATAATTACCATGGACGTAATCTGCAAATTAATTTTTATTCATAGCTCTCAACATTCAAGTGGTTTTTCTCAATTCCAAGAAATATAAATCCGTTAAATCCGTTTCAAAAAAATCAGGTCAGGACCCCACTAAACTTGCACTTTTTTCATATATATAATTTTTGTATTTGGTATTCTTTATCACTTTGAATTCAAGTGGTTTTTATTAGTTTTTTTTTTTAAACTGCGTTATTATGTTTCAATTTATGTGTCTATTTTTTTTTTTTTTTTTGAAAAGACACTCAAACACACATATTTATAACCGTGTAGTAAATTAATTAAATGGTCATATAATCACAATAATTCCCATAATTTGTTATTAATTTTTATTGTTGTTATTATTCTTTTTTATAATTGTTATTATTTGTTTAATTTGTTTCTTTTTATGATTTAACGCCACTGTTGTGCAAAAAAAATCAAAGTATAAAGTTCACTTTCTCAGATGGTTAGTTGGTTTGCTAGACGACGTCAAATATCCAGGCAACGAGTTGGACGCGATTTATGCTTTCTGAACTGAAGTGAATTACTCTTGATCGGTGGCCGATGTTTTAATGAATGAATGTCGAAGGAAAATGTGTAAAGCATTTATTTCATATGATTGAGTTTGTTGAGAATTTCTTTTATCACCACACACTCACAGACGCAAATACACATACACACTAACATTATTTCTAAAAGAACATTTTCTTCGGCTCCACCAACCAATCTAGCTGCCACAATACATCCACATGTCGTTTCTTATCATTAATTTAAGAGAATGTCAAATGCTCTTAAATTCTCTTAACACATTAGCGACTATTTTCTCTTCAACGAATTGCAAAGAGAACGAGAGACATGACATATGGTATACAATTTTTAGTGTGCAAGACATCGATCTTGAATGCATTACATTACCTGTAATATAAGTTTGTTTGATTTGTAAGTTTTCGTCAATATTGCATCAGGTCTTAGTCAGGGGGTTGCCATTTTGTATAATTAAGTAGGAAGAAAGGTGAACACATTTTTTTAAATATGTGTGTTAAAGAAACTATTTTTTATATTTAAGTACTTTTAAGAGTAAACGGATGTTCTTTTAAAATGGGTCCATATCAACTTTAACATGGGAAGCTCCTAAAATACTCTTCCTAGATTTCAAAATTTCCCCATAGCTCTAGTTACCATTTTTTCCGACATTCAAAGGGATTCCAATTCCGTAATATCAGATTTTAAAGAAAATATTTTTCAAGGGCCTTTCTAAGTTGCAATGGTGTTTTTTAAGATAATCTTTTAAAAGACTTGCAGATTTACAATCGTAGGGTATTATGTCTTTGTGCATTTGTTTGAAACATGCAAAAGGAAACGAGATGGACCCATAGTTCCTTTTGATGATCTGCATCTGAGTCGATCTATGTATGTCCGTCCGTCCGTACGTCTGTCTGTCCGTCTGTCTATGTATTTTTGTATACAAAGTACAGGTCGCATTTATTGCCCGATCCAGATGAAATTTTGCACAAATCATTTGTTTGTCCCTATTGAAATTGGAGATAATCGGTCAAAATTTAGATATAGCTCCCATATATATCTTCGTCCGATTTGCCTTTTATTGTGCACCAAACGTGTAATATCAGCCCGAATAGTATGGAAATTTGCACCTACAACCAAATTAGGCCTGAAAATAAGTATGCCAAATTTGATCGAAATCGGGTCAGATATAGCTATAGCGCCCATATATATTGTTCATCCGATTTGTTATTTTTGTCCTCTGCAGCGGTAATATGCACTCTGTAACAACAATATTTGGGCAAATATGTCAAATGCAGCTCAGAAATATATTTGCTAAATTTTATCGAGATCGGTTCAGATTTGGATATAGCTCCCATCTATATCTTTATCTGATTTCAAATTAAATTTTGCACAATATGGGCTATATATCTCCCATTTATAACTTCGTCCGATTTACCTTTTATTGTGCACCAAACGTCTAATATTTGCCCAAATGGGATGAAATTAGGCAATTGAGTCTAGAAGCTAGTATGTCAAATTTGGTGAAGATAGGTTCAGAAATAGCTATAGCTCCCATATATACTTTTCAACCGATTTGTAGTATCTGTTGCCCATAGCCGCAATATGCACTCCGTAACAACGATATTCAGAGAAATATATCAAATTAGGCTTAAAATAAGTATGCCAAATTTGATCCAAATCGGTTCAGATATAGCTATAGCTTCCATATATATTGTTCATCCGATTTGCTATTTTTGTCCACCGCAGCCGTAATATGCACTCTGTAACAAAAATATTTTGGGGAAATATATCAAATGCAGCTCAGAAATATCTTTGCCAAATTTTATCGAGATCGGTTCAGATTTGGATATAGCTCCCATATATATCTTTATCTGATTTCAAATTAAATTTTGCACAATATGGGCAATACAAGTCCGAATTTAAAAAATACAAATGCTTCGGCATATTTAGTCCTTCGAACTTTAAAATAAAAATGGGATATTCGGTATTTTGATGATTTTTGCCACATTTTTCCACGGATTTGTCTAAAAATTGGTATTTGTAGATCATAATGGATTTTAGCTCTAGTGGCGAAAAATTGTATGCATAGATCCATATTTTGGTATAGCCCCCATAAAACGGCACCTCCCGATATTCGGTATCTTAATGATTTTCGCCACATTTTTCTACGAATTTGTTTAATTTTAGTATTTGCAGGTCATAATGGGTCCAAGTTTTTGTATAGTCACCATATAACGTTAACTCCCAATACTCGATACCTTGATGATTTTCACCACATTTTTCCACGAATTTGTCTAATAATTGGTAATTGTAGTTCATAATGGGTTCTAGCACCGGTGGCGCGACTTAGTATGTATAGGTCCACGTTTTCCAATAGCGCACATATAACGATACCCACCGATATTCGGTATTTTAATTATCCTAGTCACATTTACTCACGAAATTATTTCAAATGTGGTATTTAAGAAGACTTTGTAGATGACAATCCTTAAAGCATAAATTTGCATATATACAGGGTGAGATAAAAAAAACTGCAACAAAGCCACAATTTTTACATTTTTTTAAATTTTATTAAATGATTTTTCAAATTTGGAATTTTAGAAGATTTGATAGATGAAAATCCTTGAAGTATAAAATTCAGCCTAAAATAAAGTGTAAATCGTGTAAATAAAGTGTAAATCGTTTCCTAAAGTAGCTTCCTACAAATATAGAATTCCTCATTTGGATCTTTCTCGACTAGAAGTATCAGTTGGCTATTACACTGTGCAATTCATATGTAGGAGCACTTTCACCTAATACATTCACCATATCATTATGAATTTCTTATCCCGATAAAACTTTTTTATGTAAATATTTAATGACAGCACGTATTTCTAATTTTTCCATTGTAAAGAAATTGCGTCTTTTTTGAACACCTGTTTCTATATGAAGGAGTTGCCAGATCGAAACAAAATTTAATATGTGTTCATAACAGAGAAGGAAGTTTCCAAAACACTTAACATTTTTCTGTTTATACCGCGCTTTTTGTGCTAGACTAAGAAGTTTCCGAACTGCCCTCGTACTTACTATTATCATCAATTCCGATTTATAAAAAAACGTATTTTTATTTCTGACAAATGTAGAATTTTTCCGAAATCCTGCAAATTTTCTTATAATTGCGGTTTATAAATCAGAAACCTAATGGGTAAGAATCCCTCAGATAGAATGTGGTCGATGCACGTGCTATTCTGTATTTCGATGATTTTTAGCCAAAGTAAACATATTGTCTATAATTTGAAATTTCTGTAATCCACCAAGGCCCCATGCAACAGTTTCATTGGAGTGCGAATTTTAGAAAAAATTAATCAATATATTGTAAATTTTTTCCTATGGTACGAGTAAAAAAAATCGGTTCGGTTAAACTGAATGACATTTTAACTATTCAAGAGATATTCAGTATGCTACGAATATCTAAAGATATGAAAGTGGAAAGATAAAACTTAAAATCTCCACGAAAATTGAGGCGAAATTTTCCAAAAATCTCAGAGCTCCGTCAATTTTTTTTATGGAAGGAAATTATACCATATAAAAGACATATTCATTCCCAACCTTGGAAACTGTGTATTCACACCACTTTGATAAACATTATACTTCCTCAATGGTATAAAGCGATTTTTCCATCAAAATATGATATGACATTATTTTGCCATTATTAAACCCTTATGGGGCAAAACAAACGAAAACAAGTGGGCGCAAAAATATAAACACTGTATTTTTAGAATTTTATTTTTCTTTAGAGATAACTCAATATCGTCATTTCAGGGAGTTCTAAATGTAGTCAAGTCATTTCTTTAATCACACTCGACAGTTGAGCAATTCCACGGATCATGCATATAATTAATAGACCCACATGTATATACAAACCTATATAAGTATATGCGCAAATAAAAAATTTCGAGGTTACAAATCTGTATATTCTTATCAACGACAAAAAAAGACAAAAACCACACGCACAATGAGCGTGGGGAGCGTATTTTCCCAATGAAAGTGATAGTGGAGATAGCACAGGTAATAGACCTTAAATCACTTTCATAAGTAACGCCCCTTTTGCGATTACGTCAGGAATACATAGACAACTATTACGATTTAAATCCATTTCAACAGAAGTGATGTATGGATCTGGCACACGATCATTGGCAGAAAGAAGCGCTACTCATTCTTAATACGCTTTTTATTGGCTAATATTTCAAAAACGGTTTTGCCTTTTTATGTTTTTCGCAAGCGGCTTGCGTAGGAGTTATCTGATCTCGGCGGTGTAATTAAAATAAAGATTAAATCAATTTTTAATTATATTCATTTCCGCAATGTTCTCAATAAGCTACTTTTGATTTTATAATTAATAAACATATCTAGCAATGTTTTGGAAAGTTTTCACTTGTTGACATGGCAACATATTTTTATTATTTGGAATAACATTGACTTTTTCAATAAAGATGCCAATCGTACAGAAAATGTCAATCGTACAGAAAACTGCAATCTTTTCAAGTTAAATTACATTTTTCTAACTGTAGGAGGGATTCTAGATATCATAACATAGTCAATACGTAGCCTCAATAACACTCTTGTACATTTTTATACCCTCCACCATACTATGGAGGGTATATTAACTTTGCCATTCCGTTTGTAACTCCTCGAAATACTCATGTGATACCCAACAAAGTATATATATACTTGATCAGCGTAAAATTTTATGTAGATTTAGCGATGTCCGTCTGTCTGTCTGTCGGTCTGTCTGTGGAATCGAGATAGAAGGCTAAAATTTTGCACACATGTTTATTTTGGCAGTAGGCAAGTTAAGTTCGTAAATGGGCCGTGCAGGTTCACGTTTTCATATAGCCCCTATACAAGGGCACCTCCCGATATTCGGTATTATGATGAGTTTAGCGACACTATTCACCGGAATTGTTTCAAATTTGGTATTTGAAGTTCCAAAGAGATACTACATCCTAAGATCGAAAATTGTCTGTGCACGTCCACGTCTTCGTATAGCCCCCATATAACGGTACCTTCCGATATTCGATC